CCTCCTCTCTCTCTCTCTCTCTCTATTCCTTTTATTCCTTTCTTTTTTTCTGATCCTGTATTTCAATTTTATTTCAATGGTCGGTTAATCTGTGATTGCTCTTCGTTTGTGTGTCCTGTGCGTTGCTGTCTTTGGTTTTGCTCTGTGTGCTAGATACAGAGACCACCCAATTTTAGAAGAGAGAGAGAGCACCCAATTTAGAGAGAGAGAGGGACATGAGCCTAGCCTATATCAGTGATAAAGTGGAGATCTGAAGAATGGTGTATGATTACTTGTTGAGACAAGAGTGGAACATCTATGTCACGTTTAGACATTTTCTTAATAAGAGGAGTTGACGTATACGGCTTTTTTCATTTTTGAGGATAGAAAACTTACATGACTGAGGAAACTTGAGTGAAATGATGCGTTGTTCTTAACTTTACGCAGCCTGGACCTCGCGATGCTCCTATACAGTGCTTTATCAAAAGGGAAAGGGCGACATCCACTTATCACCTCTACTTGGGTCTCACTCCAGGTATATCATGACCTACCTCTTCACCTTCCCCAATGGATGCATGAAAGAGCGAGAGCGAGAGATAACTAAGATTGCAGCGTTTGATTACTTGTGCGGTCAAATCATTACTTGCTTACTTTGTTGCTTCAAAGTTCAAAACCTTTTCTTTTATTGTTTTAATTTGTACACCCTTTTGGCTTATAGTTCAGGTGGGGATTCTCCAGTCGTTGTCACTGATCTGGTCCAGACACAGTAACGATTCACAAGATAAAGCCACTTTCTTTTCCTATAGGTTAAATAATCAAAATTTTCAGAAAATAATCTTTCTTGGTGCTCGTGATTGTTTGGGTCTTTTGACTAAAGCCTGTTTTCCCCTCTTTCCCCAAAATATAGTTGGCCTGCCTCTATTTAGAGTTTCTAGACTGATGTTTGTGAATTAATTTTCACTGAAAAAATTGGAAAGATGTAGTTATCAATATAAAAAATCAACCCAAACTTTGAATTTTGGCTGCAACATTTGGGTTTTGGACAAGCATCGCCCCCTAGATTTGCAACTCTTGCCTGTCTTAATTTACCATGCTTTTAGCAATTTTATCTATAACTTTGAGCCAAGCCTACCCCAAATAGTTGGGAAAAAGCTCTGATGATGATGATGATTCATAGCTTTGAAGTTACCAGAGTTTTGATTTTTGTCTCTTTCCCTACTGGATTTTGGGTTTGAAAATTTAGGTTTAGCACTGGTCTTGCTGTTGGATTGGATTAAAACCACGGTTGCTTAAAAAGCATAGCAACTTGTAGTCACAACTCCCAAGTTCTGGTAGGATGGTACGCTTTTAAGGTTGTTCCATCTTGATATTGAGGAATTTACTTTGCAAACTCTCACAAAATGCGGTGATAAAGTAGATTATGCATTTTAATGGAGTGTACTAGAAATCATTTTTGCTTACTTTCATGGTTCATACCTTGCATAAATAAGTAGTTGCAGGTTCTCAGTCAGTAAGAAATTTGTTTTAAAAATTCAAATAGCGCCCAGTTCTACTTGGTTTGCAATAGTATGCTCACAAAGAACCTACCCGAGTCCTAACCTATGGTAAAGACTATGAATGAGGTACTTAATTAGGACAATTATTTGCGTTTTAGGACCCCGTTTACATAGTTGCGGACAGTAGTCCCATAGAATGATTCACATCGCATCATCCATTCTAGGAACTGAATTTGGTTTTGCTTCTGATGTTTCAATTTTGTATAACAACATAGTTTTAAATCCATTTTTATTACCCTATGGAGTCCACGACGGAAAAGCTCATTTCAACCACATACTTGCTTCTTTCTGAGCTTACCAGTTTGTTCGCCGCTGACACGTCTTCACCAACAGCCAAAATGACTGCACAATAGTGATGACCCCCAAGCATATGTCACCTCTGTTTGGCTTCACATTATCCTAGAGACAGGAAAAAGAGATCTAGTTTTCATCTCTCCTTAATGCGACTTGTCTTTATTGCCTAATATAAGGTTTCTGCCTTGATTTGCAGCCCTGTTGGTTCAGAATGGAAAATTGCTGCTTGCTGCTCGAAAGATCAGGCGAGCCACAAGCACGGATTTCATAATCTCTTTAGATGCTGATGATTTTTCTCGGGCAAGCAATACATATGTAGGAAAATTGAGGTAAAAACTCTTCTTCTGTCGTTTTGGGTTTTAGTGGTATTTACTCTTAGTCTTCCTTTTTTTGGGTACAATTTGTTTAAAGCCTTCGCTGACTTTTTTGTTATGCCACTGTAAACAGCAAGTGGTACATGTGATATTATATATAAATGTATAACGTCAGTTACTTCAAATGAAAAAAAAACACATCTTCTATCACAACCCCACTTCAAAATTCAAATGGGATTCATGCATTCTTTACATTTTCTTTCCTTCTTCTAAATCATTAATAAAACTCGTCCAGGTCAAATTTCCTTGGCACCAAGTTCACAATATATGACAGTCAACCTCCACATAGTAGTGCAGTTCTATCAAACAGAAGATCAAGTAGAAGAATCCATTCAAAACAAGTTTCTCCAAGAGTACCAGCTGGTAGCTACAATATTGCTACTATAGCTTACGAACTTAATGTCCTTGGAACTCGGGGTCCAAGAAGAATGCAATGCACGATGAATTCTATTCCATTTTCTGCAGTTCAAGAGGGAGGAACGGCTCCAACCCCAATCGAGTTCCCCAATGCACTCGATGAACCTTTCTCACTTCTCTCTGCCACGAAATCAAAGGACCCCATAATAGATTTCAGCTCAACAAGCCTCTCTGAGCTTCCAATTTCATTTCACAGTAAAGAAGAACCTTTGGTTTTGAAGAACAAAGCTCCTAGATGGCATGAACAGTTGCAATGTTGGTGCCTCAACTTTAGAGGTCGAGTTACTGTGGCGTCTGTTAAGAACTTCCAGCTTGTGGCAGCTGTTGAGCCTTCACACCCGATTTCCATGGCAGAGCAAGACAAAGTTATACTCCAATTTGGGAAGATTGGAAGGGATATCTTTACTATGGATTATCGTTATCCCCTCTCTGCCTTCCAGGCCTTTGCAATCTGCTTGAGTAGCTTTGATACAAAGCTGGCATGTGAATGACCACTGACTGACAGAGAATATGCACTGAATTGACATAGGGCATGCCTATTTTTGTCAGTTTCAGATAACCAGTATGCCTGAAATGAGTGAAATGCTGATAGCTTTTGCTCCATTTTTGCTCTTTGGAAGTTGGTCATCTTATTATACTGTGTTTTCTCATTTTCTGGGCAAGATGATCTTCTTTGTGAAGCTTGTAATGTAAATATATGTTTTACAAGAAGCCACTTGCTCTATACTAATCTTCATCGTTGAGTGCCTCTTGATGTGCAGACACACTTAAGGATTTTAGTGGTAACGATTTTGCTTCTCATCTATGGTGCACTGGTTGAGTAAAGTAAATTAGCGGTTCTCATGAGTCTTTATCTTTTATCATCTCAATTGTGTATTTAATTTTGTGAACACTCAGTCGTATCATTTGCCATGCTGAATGATTTTGTTTTATAGTCCTCTTAATGGATGAAAGCTTTCTAAATAAGTATTGTTGCAGTCCAGGATGCATGACCTAAAGATTAGCCAAATGGGGAATTTGGCAGTTACTTTTACCGTCTTACGGCAATAAAAAACAAATCAATTCTTTAGTTAGTTTGCATGTACACTTGTGTCTAGGATTTTGAATATGGTGATTGGTGCGGTTTTTTGTTTACAATGGTACCTATTATATGTAAATATTTTATTTTCTTCTGATAAATAATCTTTTTTGAGAAAATCCTTATTTATTTTTCTTTGTTTTCTTTCTAGCTTGGCTGCTAGATAGGCTGCTATATATTCTTCTGAATATTGAATATTATCATTAATATCATCCTCTATCTGTAGTGTACAGACTTGGAAGTCTTGTAATTCTTCTATACTGGGTTCAGTATTAGAAGTTGTGGGATGAGTTTGAGATGTATATGTTGGAATTACAATATTATCCCTGGTCCTATGTGTTCCTTGAAATTGTATGTCTGAATGGGATGAAGAAGGTTGTTTAGGAGGTGGTAATATGATAACATTTGGGTTGTGTGAATATGATTTTCTACTTGGTATGCTTTGTTTACTATTTCTCTTCCTATTGATATTAATATCATCCTGCACTTGCAAATTGTGAAGTGTATTTTGAAATTGAATTTCTACATTACCATCTGTATGTTCTATTATTTGGTTAGGAATATGATGTTGAGGAATTTCTTGTGGTTGGTTGGCATTTTGTAATGCCCATGATTGGGGTAATATAATATCTGACCATTTTATGGTTTTTGGAACAATCATATTTGATTTTTCTATATTTGTTTGGAATAAGATTGTTTGATCTTTTTGATCAAGTTTTAAGGTATTAGGACTTAATGTATTCATGACCTTATAATATATTCTATAGACTATAGCCAGATTTTGTGAACCATGGACCATATTAAATCCATGTGTTTTTAGATTTATTGTCAATATGTCTAAGATATTCGGGTCGGTTAAAGAAACAGAAAAATTAGGAAAACAGTTAAAATATATTGGACCACTACAGAGGCTGGATTCAACCATGCCTAGTAGAGAGTCTGTGAATATATTGTGTCTTGTATCTCTTAGGCATACAAGCACAGAAGTGTTTAACCCTAAACGGGTTAAAGGTTTCACGGCTATTTGGATGAGGCCAATGTGTAAATATTTATAATTATTTTCTTTATGTTTTTCTATTACTTTCTTTAAAAGTAGGTGAAAGTCTTCTTGGTTTTATGTTACTGATAGACTTTCTTCTACAGTCTTGATGGCATATCCCATCTTAAGTTTGAATGATCCTTTATTACAAACATCATGAATTGGTACCTTAGGAATATTTCAATTTTGAATATTTTCCTCAATATCATTTATAATAATTTGTTCTTTATTCTTTACTCTAAGTTTTGAAGATGAAGATACAGTTTTACCAGTAAGATTCTTTATGAGATTAGCCATCCGTAGGTTGCGGATAATGACAATTTGGACATTCAGTGGCCTTAGCTTTTTTCGCTAAGCGGCTCTCCTGGCCTTGGCGGTACTTTTCGCATCGGCTTTCACTTGTCTCTTGTCTTAACTCTCGGACCAACTTTCTTGGTGGTTAATTTCACTTAGTATCTTATGGGAAAGTGTCTCTTAATCTTAATCTTATAGAGTGAAAAGAACAGTATCACAAATTCTTCAGTTGTAACTGTTTGCACAGTTCCACAGTGGAATAGTTCTACTGTTGTAATTTGTTTGACAGTGTTTCACTGTTATGGCTCTGATACCACTTTACGCCAGGATCTACAGCACTGTCATAATACATAGAGGGTTGGCACAAATTTTTCTATTATCAAAATTCTAACAATACACATAGCTGGTATTTACAGTTCCGGCTACCTATTTTTGAAAGGTTCCCCACTTGGTTTCAAAATTGGTATTTTGTGTGGGGATCAACTGCTATGATTTTACCTCCTGCTTTTAAGGAGTTGCAGGATCAGTTTATACAATACAATAATATTGATAATTCAGTTGACACTCACCTTTACTTTATGGCCTTGTATCAAATCCCTTTGATTATGAAATGGGATTATACCATATCACCCAATACCACAAATGATTATACATACATCCCTCGTTTGGGAAAAACCATATC